ATGTTTGTTACACTGAATTTTGAGAAGATGCAAGGATAAATTGGGGCAACAAGGCAGTGCAGTGAATAGAGGGTCAGACCTGGTGTCAGGAAGACCTGAGTTCAAATCTGTTGGAAAGTTAGAAATGACAAGATTTCGCAACTTATTGGATCTGGGGGAGTGAGTGACAGGGATGAGTCTGGGATGATATCAAGATTCTGACCTTGGGTGACTAGAAGAATCTCAACATTAATAAGGAAGCTGGGAAAAAGGGTAGGTTTGGGGGAAAAGATAATGAGCATCATCCTGGACATGATGCACTTGAGAATTCTTCACAGCTTGGCCCTTTCCTCCCTTTCTAGTTTCTTACACCAGACTTCTTGATGTTCCTCACACAACACTGCACCTCCAGACTCCTTGTCTTTTTAGTGGTTGTCCCATATGCCTGGAATGTTCTCCCTCGTCACTTCTACTTCCCTGATTCCCTGACTTTTTTCAAGACTCAGTTCAAATTCTGTCTTCTACCTGAGGATGTTTTTATTTCTCTGGTTCCCTACCCCCAGTGTATCCCTCTGAGAGTTAATGTAATTTTGTTCTTATCCATTTTGCTAGAACCCCAGAAATCTTTTCATAGATTCTTAAGGGTCTATGGACCTCAGGCTAAGAATCCTTTCTTTGGTCTAGAGGTTGGGTCTCCCCATCCCTGTCTTTTTGCACAACTAGGATGAATTCTTTTATACAATTATTCTCTCTCTCTCTCTCTTCTCTTATATTTATTCAAAACCTCCTCTAACTCTACACAGCTACTTGCCTATGAAGTCATTATGTCACCTGGTCCAATCCAATGTTCCCCCCCAACCCCCAATGTGGCAGGGATTCAGTGATCCTAATGCAGTTTCCTTAGGGATTCATCAAAGACATTTATATATGTTCAAAGCCTACTTCACCTTGGGGAGCCTCATTGATCTCAACAACTTTTAAAAGACTTAAGAACTTAAAATTTTATTTGAGCACATTTTAACTTTGTTCCTTGGATTTGGGGCATCCAACCACACGTCAATCAGCAGCACTTATTAAATGTCTACTGTGTTCCAGGCATTACTGGTAGGCATATTTAATAAGAAAGAATAGTTCCCTATACAAGTCCCATCTCAGGCATTCCAAGGGGGGAGTACTCTGCCCATTTTGGAAAGAAGGAAAGAGAAGAGAGGTGACAGGAGAGGATAGAGAGGAAAGGAGAGAGGGGATAGAGAGAGAGAGAGAGAGAGAGAGAGAGAGAGAGAGAGAGAGAGAAAGATTTCAACACTACTAGAGTTAATCTATTTTCTTCCTTTTTCTGTGGCGGAGGAGAACTTGTAGGTTTATTACAAGAATTCTTAACCTGAGGTCTATGAATTCATTTTAAGAAATGATAACTATATCTCAATATAATTGGTTTACCTTGTGATCCTATGCATTTTACTTTATGTATTTAAAACAACAAAAACAGGGGCAGCTAGGTGGCATAGTGGATAGAGCACGAGCCCTGAAGTCAAGAGAACCTGAGTTCAAAACCGGCCTCAGACACATGATACTCACTAGTTGCAAGTCACTTAACCCCAATTGCCTCACCAGAACAAACAAACAAATAAATAAAAAACACCACCGCCAGCACCACCACCACCACCACCACCACAACACCAACCCATTCTTCTTAGAAGGGCTCCATTAATAAGCTTCACCAGTTGGCCAGAGGGCTCCATGAAACAAAGAAGGTTCAGAACCTCAAGCCTAAAGTATTTGAGAAAAGTCTCCTTCTGTAGACTTGAGTAAGTCCCTATTCAATCAGGGCCACAGACCAGGAAAAATAGAAGCAGCATGATAAAGTGGGCTTAATCTTGGACTGGAAGCTGAGAATTCCAATTCTAGCACTGAAGAGCACTATTTTTATCATTAGCCATTAACACTTCAATTTCCATTAATTTTTCAGATTAGCTAGCAGTCACCTGGCAGAGCCAGGGACAGAAATACAGAGTAGACATACTTTAAAGGAAAAAAGCTTTGCAGTGCATAAAAATGACAATAACTGACATATATGGAGCAGAGTGTGACAGAAAGCTGGACTTGGAGTCAGGGAGACCTGAGTTCAAGTCTTGACTCAGCTGTTTATTAGATGTGTGATTTCAGACAAATCACTTCACTTTATAGGCCTCAGTTTCCTCATCTGTAAAATGAGGTGCTGGACTGAGTAAGCTCTAAGGTACTTTGCAGCTTTGAATCTCTGATTCTATGAAATCATTTGATTTTCACAGCAATACTGTGAGTTGTCACAGGTATTATTATTCCCATTTTATAGATAAGGGGTCTAAGGTTAAGTGACTTGTCCAGAATCACGAAACTAGTAAATGTCTGAAATAGGATTTTAATCGAGGTCTTTCTGACTCTAAACCCACTGCACTCCCTTTCCTCATGGAGCCCTTCAGCATTCAGAGAGATAACAGGAAGGCACTATTGTGTTTGGCATGAGGTATAAAAAAGAAGGAAGAAAGTCATAGAAAAAGGAACATAAGTAAAAATAATAGGTAGCACTTGCATAGCTCTTCAAGGTTTGCAAAGTATTTTTTTTCTTTTTTAACAAATATTATCTCATTTTATCCTCACAACAACTCTGGTAGGTAGGTACTATTATTGTCCCCATTTTACAGATGGCAAAGCTGAGGCTGAAGGAGTTTAATGACTTGCCCAAGGGTTACACAGCTTTTCAGAACCTAAGGCTGGAAAGAGAAACCTGATCTATTTTATTGTTTTACATAGAACCAGCCTTGTGCTTGACCTTTCTGAGTCCTAATAAAAGATGATAAGACATGGCCCAAATTCCCTTAAACGAGTGAGGAATATTACTCTAATGAGCTGTGCTAAAATTTCGAAGATGAGCTACTTAAAACCTTTATTCAATTCTAGGCCTACTGTGATCCAAAGGTTTTGAGTAAACTACTAAAGATCTGTTCAAATGACATGTTAAAATATCATACTGGCAGCTTAGGGGCCTTGCTTCTGGCGGCTCTCCTGAATTTGTGGGTCATGGTGAAGCTAATGGCATTTGACATGTGTAGAGCACCAGGATTCCAGAATGACTGAGGACTGATATACACCTGTCTTTTCCAATTGAGACTGTTAACTCCCAGGTTAATGAGGGACTGCCTTGTGACAATCCTACCTTGTTCATGTGTCCCCATCTATCTCAGGATAAATTCAGTTTTCAATGACAATGTCCTTACTTTTCTAGGGGAAATACTGCAATTCAGATTTATTTGCCTTTTAGCTTGGCTTAGACTGGTGTTTATTTAGCAGTAGTCTATGTCTTACAAACACACCAGGCCTGCAAGCAATGAATACATACAAATAGCTGCCCTTGTCTTAACAAACCCTGGTGCTAAAGACTCAGTTGTCATAGTAATAGGAGCTATTGGGAAAGAATTTAGAACTTTTTAGAGCAGAGATTCTTTTTTTTTAAATTAAAATAAATTAAATTAATTTTTTGGTTACATTTTAAGTTCTGAACTGTCCCATTCTCCCTCCTCACCCT